AGAGTCATACTTTGTAAATTCCAAATTCCAATTATTAGTTGATGTTTGCAACTGTTTCTTTTTATTTTGAGCCACTCCCATCACCAAATGAAGGTCCTGTGGGCTTTATTCCATCTTTGTCTTTATGGTCAACTCTGCTTTAATAAGGCAGTTCATTCATCCTCAGTCGTATTTTGAGTGTCTGACCTGAGGGGCCCATCTTCTGGTACTGTCTCAGACAAGGTTCGGCTTATTGGGTTTTCATTAAATGATAATATTTGGGTTATCCGTAAGGTTTTCAGTGGCTAATTCCTCTGAAGTGTACATTGAGTTTCTTTGTAGTCTATTCTTGGTCTGGAAAGTCTGCTGATAAGGGCTCCTGAGGGAGGAGGGAGCGAGGAGGGAGGGGGAAAATGAGGACATAATGTCGGGGGTTTAAGTGGAGAGAAAATGTTTTGAGAATGATGTACAAATGTGCTTTACACAATTGATGTGTTTGTGGATTGCGATAACAGTTGTATGAGCCCCTAATAAAATGTTTTAAAAAAAAAAAGAAAGTCTGCTGAAACATATTGTGGGTGTGGCACTGCTGCCACCAGAGTATGACAAACTGACAGACCCGTGGTGGGAGGATAGGTTAGAGATAGCGTATCTTCTACATAAATATATGGGAAGAGAGTGGGGAAGGAACAATAGAACTGATTGTGATTATGTGTATACAACTGATTAAAAAAATTAACCATGGAAGTGTGATGTGTGAATACCATATCAAGAAAACCATGAACAAAAGGAAAGAAACCGAACTTGAGCAGTGGTTACCGTAGGTGAAGGGGAAAGAGTTGTTGCGTAGGGGCATTGAGTTTATGTCAGTGGTGGTGGAATAATTTGGAAAAGGATATCAATAATGATTGTGTAACATGAAGAGTGTAATCAGTGACACTGAATTATGCAAGTAGAAGTTGTGGAATTGGAGAATATTTTGTCGTATATATTTTTGTCACAATTAGAAAAAAATTACATGAATAACAATGACTAAGAAAGAATAAAATGTTCTAGAATTGAATATGGTGACAATTGTACAACTCTTCTTCTATGATTGAGTTATTGAAGTGAATGACGTGGGTGCAGCACTAATAAAACTGTTACATACATGAATAGTGAGACGAAAATGTACCCATAGCTATTGTTGAATCTGAGTTCTAGTGTAAGCCCTTTTCATGCACTCAGGAACATACTTAACGTTAAGACCTTGCTTTTTCAGTTGGTAAAACATCTCAACAATTCCTACATGCGCAAATCATGTAGGCTTACTTCTAAATTCTTTTTCTTTGATTAATACAAACTTACTGCCCATAAGCTTCAACCTGCTGTGGCTAGTTTGATCACAGCGCTCAAGGCAGACATTTCTTTTCTATGAAGCAGGACTATTGTTTGATGATATAGTGGATTATGTGTTCAGCTGCTCTGCAGAAGAGAAAAATGGCCTTCTGCTTCTCTAAAGATTGACAGCTCGGAAGCGCTAGGGGGATAGTGCCCTAGAGCAGCGGTTCTCAACCTGTGGGTCGCGACCCCTTTGGGGGTTGAACAACCCTTTCACAGAGGTC